GCCACTGCCCTCACGCCACGCCACCATGGATGAAGTCCCGCTGCCAGCGCCCCCTGTCCCGACCCCGGCCCCGGCCCCAGCACCGCCCGCCGCCGCCCCCCGCGTCCCATTTCACTGCAGTGAGTGTGGCAAGAGCTTCCGCTACCGCTCGGACCTGCGACGCCACTTCGCACGGCACACTGCTCTCAAGCCCCACGCGTGTCCGCGCTGCGGCAAGGGCTTCAAGCACAGCTTCAACCTGGCCAACCACCTGCGCTCGCACACGGGTGAGCGGCCCTACCGCTGCTCCGCCTGCCCCAAGGGGTTCCGAGACTCCACCGGCCTGTTGCACCACCAGGTGAGTCCTGCAGGCTGGCCCGGCTGCCTTCCGGGGCTGGACATGGCCTTGGAGCCCAGCCCCACTGTGGGCGACAGAGAAAACTTTCCTCTTTTTTCCTCCCCTCTGGCCAAAGCGCGCTGACCAGTAAAAACACCAGGAGTATCTCTTCAGTCACCACCTACTTATGGATTGAAGGAAAACGTTCTTAGTACCTTTGTCTCACCTATAGGCTCCTCTCCTCCCATCCCCCTGTCCATACATCTCCCTTCTCCCACACACCAGCAATTTTGTGTTCCCTTGCCATTTTAAAGGCAGATTTACCACGGATGTACTTAATTCTTTCATTCAGCAATTGTCCATCAAGAGCTTTCCCTGCTCCCAACACTGGGGTAGACAAAGGGAAATCAATAAAGTCCCAGCGTTTGGGGAACTTATATTCCGTTGGAGGTAGACAATCAACAAGAAAGCAAATACACAGGCAAGACTGTTCTGGAAAGGGAGAAGTGCTGGGAAGGAAATTAAACAATAAGCCAATATGCAGGTGTAAAGAGCCTAGAGCTGCGGGCAACCAGACAAGGCGGGGAAGGGCAGGGCAGGGTGATATCTGAGCTGAGACCTGAAGTATGAGCAGGCACTCACCATGGGAACAGCATTCCAGGCAGAGGGAACAGCAAGTGCAAAGGCCCTGAGATGGGACAAGCTTGTAGTGTACAGGTCCTACCACCTTCTGTCTCTCCCCTTCATGTCCAGCCTGTGTGACCGGGGACCCCCCCCCATTAAAACCCCTGATCGTTAACTTGATGTGACATTCACAGCCCTCTGAGGTCTCCGTCCTGGCCTCTAGTGGGTTATAATTCAACTGAGCATTTAATGAGCACCTACAGTATACAGACTCCTTGGGGAAAAGGAGAGAGACAAGAGACACAGTTCACTCCTTTTGTGGCCTCCCAGAGCCAAGAGTCTATCTAGTTGGGGCAACAGTCACTGAACAACCAGGTTAATAAATGTCAAATTGCAACTGAGACATGAGGACACAGGGTTATCGTATTCTGAGGCTAAGGCAAGAGATCTGAAGTGTTCCGGGTCGGGCATGGGATGGGGGTTTGTTTTTTGGGGGCAGCACTCCCACTTCTTTGGGTTTCATGCCCCTGGCAGATATGACTAATGTAGCACTGCACTCTCTTATCCAGCCTCCCCACAGCTCTCTAGGCAGACACTACCAATCAATAGGACTCCAGACTCAAAACCTGTGTCTGTTCTTTCAGGTCTCAAGTAAACCACAAGGGCCAATATCCATAGAGACCTGTGTAAGACACAGTCTCGCCCAGCGACTAGCCTAGCATTTCCAATGCTCAACAGCCACACATGGCTAGTGGCCACCATTGTTGGCCATACAGATATAGAACATTTCCATCAATGCAGAAAGTTCTAGAGGGTTTACAGGAAAAGAGCCACCTCCTACGCTAGGACCCAGGAGGTTAGAAAGCCTCTCTCTCCTTCCCCCCAATATCCATTGGTTTAGAGGATAGTAGGACAGGAAAGTTTGTTGAGAGGCTGTTACTTGTCCAAGTTTTCACAGAGAGTGGAAGGCAGAGTGGGATTTGAACCCAGGTCCTTTAGTGCTCAGATCCTCAGTGCTTAGCCACTGCCCCAGGAAGCCCCAGTCTCCTAAACGGGCTTGTTGGAATTGAATAAGTTAGGAGCAGTGAGAGGAAGTGTTCCCCAGCCTCAGGGAACAGCCCTTACAAAGGTCCAAAGGCCTGTCAACATGTGAATTTGTGTGAGTTCATTTGAGCCAAACTGTCTACAATTGCCAGGAAGCAAAATCTCAAGGGACTGAGAAAATGCTCCAGAGAATGGCAGTTTTGCATTTTATCCTATACATTACAGTCAAAAGAGAAAATAGAAGTGGGTTGCATTAAATCCATTGGTGATAGATTAGGGAGGCGGGAGAAAGCAAAGGAGTGGGGGAGAGGGATCTCTGGGATTGGATAAAAAGTAAAATGATAGACACGTGCTTTTTTACATAGGTCTAACAGTCAACAATTAACTCAATAACAATAACAATGAGAGGATTTGTGGTTTGTACCCTGGTTCATTGGTTGTGCCCTGAGGGTCCAGAAAATGGGAAGTTACCCAGACATTACAAAGGTATATTATTGTAGGTGCAAAAAGACAATAGACAGGCTCAAGTTGAAAGTTGACCTTTATCAGGAAAGATTCTAGCCTAGGACATGACTACCCACCATAAACTGCTTTTAATTAAAAAGTGTTCATTTCACACCATCCTTTGTGGTTATTTTAGGCCTCTTGAGTTTGTAAGGTCGCCACGCAGGCCTTTCCTGGGCTCGTCAGGTTTAGTATATGGCCCCATTTCGTCTACAGGCTGGAGGGACTAAAGGCAATGCCAGCGTGGCCCAGAGCAGAGGAGAGGGACAGCACTGAAGCTAGTCCTGGCCCTGTAGACGTGGCAGGCGGCAAGGGCCCCCTCCCTCAGACAGCGCGGGAACCTGCGCCGCGGGCTAGAACCCCAGCCCTGAAACCGCTCCCTTCTTCCCCCCAGGTCGTCCACACTGGAGAGAAGCCCTACTGCTGCCTGGTCTGCGAGCTCCGCTTTTCCTCGCGCTCCAGCCTGGGCCGCCACCTCAAGCGCCAGCACCGCGGG